TTTTTTTATAATCAATATTTTTTATTATGATATTATGGAGTACAGTTAAGGGTTAGGTATACAAATATGCTTTGTTCAGGCACCCTTGTTGATAAGAGGTATCTCCCCGTTCCCAGACAGATATTTACTACCGTTAATCCCATCTCCCTCTCCCCCCATAGTTTCCCACCACTGTCAGTCATTTTCTTATAGTATTACATTGGATGTTCAAGGTCCACTATATGAGTGAGAACATGTGATACTCAGATCTTTGTTTCTGTGAGAGGTCACTCAGTATTATAGACTCTAGTTCCATACAGGTTGCTGCAAAATTCATGATTTTGTTCTTTTTGATGGCTGTATAGTATTCAATCATGTATATGTACCACATTTTAAAAATCCAGTCCTCTTTTGATGGACAGCATGGTTGGTTCCAGGTTCTTGCTATTGTGAACAATGCTGCCATAAGCATTTGTGTGCAGGTATCTTTTTGATAGAGTGATTTGAGTTCTTCAGGGTATATTCCCAGTAGGGGGATTGCAGGGTCATATGGGAGGTTGATATTTAGAGCTTTTAGGAATCGCCACACTGCTTTCCACAGAGGGTGCACTCCCACCAACAGTGTAGAAGTGCTCCCTTTTCGCCACACCCTCTCCAGCAACTGTTGTTTTTTTAGTTATTGATAACTGCCATTCTGACTAGAGTTAGATGGAATTTCAGTGTGGTTTTGAGTTGCATCTCCCTGATGATTAGTGAGGTTGAACATTTCTTCATGTGTCTGTTGGCTGCTCGGATGTCTTCCTTTGTGAAATGTCTGTTCATATCTTTTGCCCATTTTATAATGGGGTTGTTTGCTTTTTTCTTTTCTGCATGTTTGAGTTCCTTGCAGACCCAAGATGTTAAGCCTTTGTCAGACTTTGGAGTTGGAGAATACTTTTTCCCAGTCTGTAGACTGCCTCCCTGCTCTCTTGATGGTTTCTTTGGCCTTGAAGAAGCTTGTCAGTTTAATAAGGTCCCATTTGTTTATCTTCTCTCTTATGGTCTGATGCATAAAAAGATATAACATTCCGAAGACCCCTGGGAGGGCAGACACTGAGAAAACGGACTTCAGAATGTTCTATCTTTTTATGCATCTTTTCCATCTTTAACAGTTTGGGTTAGTTCCATATTTTGGTCCTCAAGTTCTGAGATTCTTTCTTCTGCTTGGTTAATTCTGCTTTCCATGCTTATCAATTTGTTATTTTTTTTCCATCCACTGTATTCTTTATTGTTGTTATCTCAGTTATCTATTCTCTCTATTAATATCTTGATATCTGGGGTTGTGTTTTGAGATCAGTCATTCTGGGGGTTCTTCATTGTTTGACTTCCAAAGTCTATGTTGTCAGTGGCTGACCTTCCAGGGGTCTGTGTGAGATTCATATTCTTCCTTTGGTTTTTCTTCATTTGTGTAGGTTTTCATCTCCCCTCCCCTCTCCCCTTTTAAAAAACCTCTTCTTTAATTCTGTTGTTCAGTGATGGGGGGATAGCTATTATTTCTATTTTCTCAATCCACTGTTTTTCCTTATGTAGATCTTCTGATTTTGTTCAATTCTGAAGCTGCACTGGGTGTAGGGACCTGTGCTTTTTGCAGTTTTGAGATTTAATTAAGGGGTAGCTGTGATTCAGAAGCTATCTGCAGATCCCAGTATCTGCTGACAGGTGTGTGAGCCCCCTGGAATCCACTTCCCACTACCTTGCAATATGTCTATGCAGTGGGGGTGTCTGTTTTCCCCTGAAAACAAAATGAGATAATAAAAGGGAAAAGAATGGAAAAAGGAAGGAAGACAATGAAAGGAAAGTGGAGAGAGGGAAGAAGTGAGAAGACAGACAGACATACCAACTAACGAATAAACAGAGAAACAAAGACAGAAGGAGCAAAAAAATTCAAAGACATACTGACAATCATACAAACAAAACCTTCCTATTAGTGTACTCTCCCTTAAAAATACCCATATACAAACAAAAAAATTAAAAAAAAATTAAAATAACAGAAACAAAGCAAGTACAAAAATGTAAACAAAGACAGAAAGAAAAAAAAAAGCAAAAACTGAAACAACAAGCAAACACGAAGAAAACAACTACAGCAGCAACCAAAAAAATTTGCTCTGTGGCTGTTTCTGTAACTGCCACAGTGTTTTGACTGCCATCTCTGCCTTGGGGAGCAGCCCTGCTCTCCAACTCCTCCCTTCTGCTCTCAGGACAGACTGATAGGGCTGCTCTCAGCATGGGTTAGATGCCCCATGGACTACTGTGGGAGAAGGGATCAGATCCATGCTCACCTTACTCTCTGCTGCTGCTGTCAAGTCTCCTACTTAGATCTGACATGGCTGTGTCTATTCCAGCTTTGGGGAGGGGCATCTATTTCTCCAAGTCTGATGAGAGGATAACCTCTGGGTTCCAAGATGGAGGCTGGGTGGAGCTGAGTGGAGCAATGCAGGTCTCTGCCCTGGGACTGAGAAATGGTACCCATCAGTGTCTTATAACCAGCATTGGAGCTTTATTCCAGATTTCCACTACCTGCCTTCTCCATGGTTCCTCCTGCTTGTGTCTGGTCTGCTGCTGTAGGTGGTGGCGTTGGCCAGGTGCCAGGTGGTGGGGAGTGTCTGTTCTCTGCTACTTTCTCTCAGGAGAACCCTGAGAACAGCAGAAGATCCTGTGCACCTAGGTCTCCAATCTCAGAGTTGTGGTAGGTTGCAGTCAGTCACCTCTGGAGGAGAGCCCCAGGTGCATGAACCTGAGTTTCTCCTCAGACAGACTTTCACTCACACACTGGCACATACCCACTCACACAGAGAATCGTTATGGACATTCACTTTGTGGAGACTCTCACAGTCCAACCTGTTCCATCACCATCTTGTCCAGAAGCCTATATTACAACTTTTAAAAACTTGATGTCTAGGTTGCTAATGTCATTGTATCATTTTCAAATGTAATAACCTTTCAAAACACATTGTGATGGAACAATCAAACTTGGTACATTAAAATTATTAATAACTTCAATTAAATGACAGAAAACTTAATTTTGTTCTAAGCATTTTTATATTACAGAGAATGAAAATTTTTATAATGCATTATTATACAAATGTGTGGAAAAGAAGGATTTTATTAAAATTATAAGTGACACTGTCTTACTTCTAGTATAATTTCTACTTTCATTGCAATGCTATTTAAAGAATATTCTCCATAATATTATATCATATTCTTTAATAGTCTACTTAACAAACATGGTCTTTTTTGATGCCTATCTGAGAACAAAGTTTTCATTGGGTGGAGAGGTAAGAAATACATTTTGGACATTCAGTTGAATTCTATCAAGATCCCTTGATGAAAATCTCTCTTGTCTATTTAAATAGTGATTCCAGTCTGATGATTTATGTATGTGTAAAAACAATGTTTTTTGTTGCACTTTGGGGACATTGGGGTTTTGGCGGAGTGAATTCATGACAGTCACGAAAGAATAAGGAGGGAGCAAAGGAAGGAGAAGGAGAGAGAGGGGACAGAGAGAGAAAGGAAGGAAGGAAAGAAGGAAGGAAGGAAGTAATGAAGGAAGGAGCTGCCATCAATTTAGTGTTTATCTGTTTTAACTATTAGGGCAGGAGTAAGTTTTGTTTCAATAAAGTAATCTAAAAAGCATGGCTGTGAGTAGTATCTTTTATAATGTGGAGTCACATGGATATAGAGAATAGTTTGTGATAGAACAGAAATTGGTCAAGAAACAATAACAACTCAAGACTAATATGTTTGAGGGGCAGGAAGGATGGAAAATGGAGTGAGGGAACTGATAAAGAGCTTTCAGGGCTTTGAGTGTATCCTGAGCAGACACTAAGAGATATCAGCAACTGATGTAAAATGCCCTAGACTGGATGCCACAGGAGAAAACCAGGTTAAAGACTGTGGGTGGTAGACCAGTTTAAATGTCAGGAAACTTTGGGTGGATGGGTAGGTAGGTGTTTGCCAGAACATGCTGCTCCCAGAGCATAGACAGATCGACCACACAGACACCACAGAAACACAAGTGACCTGGGAACAAGGGAGAGAAGCAAGACATCAGTGTTAGTCTGGACAAATATAAATTCTGCAACTGTGCTGGGCACTTATAATTTGCTTTAGAATATGTATTTTGGGTCTTGAGATCCCTTACGCTTTTGAACAACAAGCTTGTAAATGTGATCCAGTTTGGTGAACATCTTGGTGAGTGTCTACAAAGGACAGATTGGGTCGGGGTAACAGAAAAAGTTTTAGTTCCAAGTTTAAAGGCCAAATAGAATAATTTATTCTTACTTGTTGGATGTTGACGACTAGTCCTGCCTCACAATCAATATGGAATGCCTCTTGGTTGAAAGTGACTGAAATCTTTATCATGTCTTCTCTCCTCTATCTCCTGTCTCATATCTCCTCTCCTATCTCCTAGCTCCTCACATCTCATATTGCCTCTCTAAGCCTTTCTCTGAACCCTCTTACAACTAGAATAATATAGGCATTTTCTTAAGAAGACACTCACTGACTAATTTCTCAAAACATTATTAGCCACATATTTTATTGGCTTATCTTTTTCATTTTCCTTTATCATTTTCTGTATGCTTATTCACATAATTTTTCTATTTTTACACAGTTCATACTATATATTTCTGATTTTCATTTGCAAGTAATTTTCTAAACTAAATAATTGCTATATCAATTATGCTAATTTTAAAAATTGCTGTCATTTCAAATATATCTACACCTTTAATGTAAAACTTTTAAAATTACATGTATATATTGATGTCATTAAAAAATAAGACCTTTATTATCCACAGAAACAAATGTAAGATTGTGTGTAGTTTTAAGAGTGAAGTAAATTTTTTATATACATATAGAATTTTATTCTAGAGGTAAATTTCTAAGTAGATAGAGATTCATGTATTAATATCTCTTGTCTTAGTTCAGTGTATTATATGATGTGTCTAAATTTTTAAAAAATTCATATTTTCTTTTAAATTTAGTGACAAAATTGCCACTGGGTCCTTTGATAAAACTTGTAAACTCTGGAGTGTAGAAACAGGAAAATGTTATCATACATTTAGAGGACATACAGCAGAAATAGTGAGTATATTTAACAATTTATTATTTTATGTGGTTGTTTCTTTTTAGGATTCTATTACATAAGTAGGGGCTCTGCCTTTATAATTAATTTTCAAATTCTACCCCAATAGTCTGCATATATTTTATACGATAGTGTTGATATTATTTTAAAATGACTCTAGTGTTCATATCTCACAGATTCTATAAGAGAATTGTGTTCTATGTTGACAAAGTAGACGTGTAATATGGTAAATATGAGTACAACATCAAATCTTACTTTTTCTTTTTCATTGACTCGTCTTTAAAGTACTGACTCAGTGAGGGTCAATAAAGTTATTAAAATAGTTTTAAAAATAAAATATAAGATATTATTTGAAATATTTAGATTGATTGCTTTCTGAATATCATTAGGTCTCAAATTTGCATGAATAGTCTGATACTCTAAAGAGCTTTCACCATGGGGAAGCCCTTGTCCTTGGACAATTCTGTGAGCTAATTGACATCCTGCAGAACAAGTGATCACACTTAAAAATAAACAGGCTGCTGCTCCTAGTAGTTAGAAATTCATTAAATTGTTTTAATCAAAGATTTAAATAAGGAAAGATTGGTCTGACTTTTAAAAATTCCCAAGTTTTGTTTTACTTATTGAGGGGAAACATCCCCTTCCCTCCATTTCTTATTTTTGTCAGGTAAGAATGATGCTTTTAATGTTGAACACACACATCACTTGTTAGAATTTTTTTTTGTTTGTTTGTTTGGTTTGGTTTCTGTTTTGTTTTTTCATTTTGAAGTTGTGGGGCACAAGTCAGGACTGAGTACATAAGTGGTTTAGGTACAGGTGAAGTTTTCGGCCTCCTCTTGGACCTCACTCCACTTGGATTAGGATCAGGCATCCTTATTGATATTATGTATCCCCCCCCACCCCCACCCTGGCAGTGTTCCCTATTACCAATCCCATTTATATAGTTTTATGATAGGTGTTTAGGTTCCACTGATGAGTGAGAATATATGGTACTCAGTTCTTTGTTTCTGTGACCGATCACTGAGTATGATAGACTCCAAATCCAACCAAGTTGCTGTGTAGTCCATAATTCTGTCCTTCTTTATGGCTGTGTAATGTTACATCATGTATATGTACCACATTTTTTAATCCAGTCTGATTTTGATAGGCAGCATGGTTGGCTCCATGCTTGTGTTATTGTGAATAGTGCTGCAATAAACATGCATGCACGGGTATCTTTTTGGAGTCTCTGTTGCCCAGACTGGAGTGCAGTGGCCGCTCCCGGCCACCACAGCCTCAACCTGCTGGGCTCTGGCGATCCTTCCGTCTCAGCCTTCCGAGTAGCCGGAATTACAGGTGGGTATCTTTTTTTGTAGAATGATTTGAGTTCCTCTGGGTATATTCCCAGAAGGGGGATTGCTGGGTTATATGGAAGGTCAATTTCTAGTTCTCTTAGCAATTGCCACACTGTTTTCCTTAGACGTTGAATAAGTTTGCACTCCCACCAACAGTGTAGAAGTGTTTCCTTTTCTCCACATCCTCACCAGCATCTGTTTTTTAATTTAATTTATTTTTTATTTTAAAGATGTGGGGGACAATTTAGGAGTAGGTATACAAATGGTCATTGTGCAGGGGGCCTCACTTTTGTCCCCATTTCACCTGGTTTGAGATCGGGTACCCTTACTGATGAAGTGTGTCCCCCTCCTCCCCTGGCAATTTCCCACTACTGCCAAGCCCTTTCTTACAGTATTATGATAATTGTTTAGGGTCTGCTTATGAGTGAGAGCATGTGGAACTCAATTCTTTGTTTCTGTGATAGATCACTGAGTATTATGGACTCTAAAATCATCCAAGATGCTGCGAAGTTCATAATTTTGTTCCTCTTTATGGTTGCATAATATTGCATTGTGTATATGCACCACATTTTTTTTTTTATCCAGTCAACTTTTGATGGACAGCATGGTTGGTTCCGTGTTTTTGCTATTGTGAATAGTGCTGCAATAAATGTGTGTGTGCAGTTATCTTTTTCATAGAGTTGTTTGAGTCCTTCGGGGTATATTCCCAGAAGGGGGATTGCTGGGTTGTATGGAAGGTCAATTTGTAGATCATTTAGGAATCGCCACACTGTTTTCCACAAAGCTTGTACTAGTTTACACTCCCAGCAACAGTGTAGGAGTGTTCTCTTTTTTCCCTCATTCTCTCCAGCATCTGTTGTCTTTTGAGTTATTGATGATAGCCATCCTGATTAGAGTTAGGTGGTATCTCAGTGTGGTTTTAATTTGCATTTCTTTGTTGACTAGTGATGCTGAACCTTTTTTCATGTATCTCTTGGCTGCTCATATGTCTTCTTTTGAGAAGTGTCTATTCATATCTTTTGCCTCCTTTTTCATAGGGCTGTTTTTTTCTCTTCTGCATGTTGATGTTCCTTGTAGATTCTAGATGTTAGGCCTTTGTCAGATATACAGTTGGCAAATATTTTTTCCCAGTCTGTGGGCTATCTCCCATCTCTCTTGATCGTTTCTTTTGGTTTTGCAGAAAATTTTCAGTTTGATGAGGTCCCATTTGTCTATCTTCTCTCTTATGGCATGGGAACTTGGAGTTTTGATGAAGAATTGGTTGCCAGTTCCAATTTCCATAAGGATGGCTCCTGCATTTTCTAAGGTTTTTATAGTTTGAGGTTTTATGTGTAGATCTGTGATTCATTTAGAGTGGATATTTGTGTATGTTGATAAGTGGGGTCTTGTTTTAATCTTCTGTGTGTGGTCAGCCAGTTTTCCCAGCACCATTTACTGAATAAGTTCTCCTCTCCCCAGTGGTAGATGGTAGAGGCTTTGTCAAAGATGAGTTGGTTGAGAAATTGATGTTGGAAACTCCATCCTGTTTCATTGATCTATATGCTTGTTCTTGTACCAATACCACTCTTTTGATTATGGTAGTCTTATAATGTTTAAAGTCTGGAAGCATGATGCCACCTACTTTGATTTTTTTGCTGAAGATTATTTTGGCTATTTGTGGTCATTTATGTTTCTATAATGATGTTGATAATTAAATAGGTATTGTGTTAAATCTTTAGATTGCTTTGAGTAGGATGGTCAATGTTGATTCTTCCAATCCATTAACATGGAATATTTTTTCATTTGTTTGTGTCTTCTTTGATTTCTTTGAGCATTGTTTTGTGGTTTTCATTGGGAAGATCTTTCACTTCTCTAGTTAGGAAGATGCCAAGGTAATTCATTTTGTGGCTATTGTGAATGGGATTGAACTTTATATTTGGTTCTCTGTATTTTTGTTGTTAGTGTATAAAATGTGACTGTCTTTTGCACTTTGATTTTACACCCTGAGGCTTTGCCAAAGTCCTTTATCAGTGCAAGAAGGTTTTTGACAGATTCTCTTAGATTTTCCAGGTATAGGATCATATCCACAAAGAGGGATAGCTTAATTTCCTCTTTTCCTATTTGGATGTCCCCAATATCCTTTTCTTCTCTGATTGCTCTAGCTAGGACTTCTAATACTCGGTTGAACAGGAGGGGTGAGAGTGGGCATCTTGTCTTGTTCTGGTTTTCAGGGAAAATGCTTCCAATTTATGTCCATTTTGTAATATGTTGGCTTTAGGTTTCTCATAGATGGCTTTTACTATTCTGAAGTATGTTCTCTCTATACCTAGGTATTCAAGATTTTTTTTTTTTTTAAATCAAGAATGGATCCTGGATTTTGTTGAAAACCTTTTCTGTGTCTAATGATGTTATCATGTGGTATTTGCTCTACATCTGTTGATGTATTTAATAACATTTGTGCTCTTGCAGATGTTAAACCAGCCCTGCATCCTGGGGATGAAGCCTACTTGGTCATGGTGAATAATTTTTGAGATTTGTTGCTGGAACCTCTTTGCTAGAATTTTGTTTAATATTTTTACATGTGTGTTCATCAAGCATATTGGCTTATAGTTCTCTTTTTTTGTTGGGTCTTTGCCTGGTTTGGGTATCAGTGTCATGTTAGGCTTATACAGTGATTTTTGGAGAGTTTTCTATTTCTCAATTGCCTAGCAAACTTTCAGTAGAATTGGTATCAGCTCCTTTTTGCATGTTTTGTAAGATTCTGCTGGAAAACCATCTGGTACATGGCTTTATTTTTGTAGGTGGTTTTCTTATGATGGAGTCAATTTCCCAAATTGTTTTTGGTCTATTTAGGGTCTCTATTTCTTCTTGTTTCAACCTTGGGAGGTTGCGTGATGTCAGAAATTCCTCCATTTCACTTAGGCTTTAGAATTTATTTCCATATAGGAGTGCACAGTAATGTCTGATAATCTTTTGTATTTCTTCTGGGTCTGTTGTGATGTAATCTTTTGCATTTCTGATTGTGTTTATTTGGGCTTTATGTCTCTTTTTCTTGGTCAGTATGGCTAGGGGTCCATCAATCTTGTTTATTCTGTCAAAGAGCCAGCTTTTTGTTTTGTTGACTTTTTCTGTGATATTTTTGTCTTCTATATTCTGTATTTGGCTTTTACCTTGGTGATCTAGATTCTTCTGTTGAAGTTAGGGTTTGGTGGTCTTGCCTTTCCAGTTCTGTTAGGTGATTTGTTAGGTTGTTGATGTAATTTTCCTATTTTCTTGATGTTTGTAGAGATATATATTTCCCTCTTAGTACTTCTTTCAAGGTATTCCAGAGGTTTTGTTAAGATGTATCTTTGTTTTAATTTGTTTACATGAATCTTTTAATTTTTGTTTTGATTTCTGTGTTGACCCAGGAGTTGTTCAGCATTGTGCTGTTTAGTGTCCATGTCTTTGTGTGTTATGGGGGGATTTTGTTGGTGGCAATATTTATTTTTATTCCACTGTGATCTGAGATGATACATGGTAGTATTTTGATCTTATGAAACTTGCTTATGCTTGATTTATGACTGAGGATGTGGTCAATCTTGGAGTATGTTCCATGTGGTGGTGATGAGTAGAATGTATACCCTGTGGTTGCTAGGTGGAGTGCTCTGTATGTATCTATTAAGTCCATTTGGTCAAGCATCAAG